CGAGTCACAATTCCTTGACAAACTCAGAGTCAGCTGCCGTGGGTCCTGCAAGAAATTGCAGGCGCGTGAGGTGGTGGCTTGGTCTAGCATCACCCAGAGGGTGACGTGCTAATAATGTCCTCAGTCGTTCCTTCCTCTATAGGAGGAAATGTCTAAGAATGGCCCCTTTGAGGCGACCATAAGCATTAGGTACATTGAAATTGAGGACGGCCTCACGGACAGCAACTATATGGTCCTCGGGTAATGATTCGAGGGCGTAGCCATAATTTTGCCTTTGGCTCGTGATGCGGCGCGTCTTTAATTTAGATTCTAATGCGGCAAACCTGACCTCTGGGTCGTGGGGAATAAATGAGTTAGGTCGAAAGTGAATGGCCTGTACGTCTGAGTCTATGACATTAATACTATTCTTGTCGCTATCCGCCATGTCGAGTATATTATATATTGAAAAATATTAATATGAAAATATACGACCGACGTGGATAGATAAACGATAGACTCACCGAATCGACCTCTTTGGAAAATTTACCCAGAGGTTGGGACGTGTTCCAAGAATTGGCTCACCTGTTGTAGCGTGAGGTCGAGTCGCGATCGATTATGAACACCACTACAAGAAAGCGCGTACCAGAAAACCAGAAGGCGATGATGGAGCGTAACCAAACTTATTTCATTGGCGATCTCATGGTATCGAACGAATACCGAGATCGTGCCAAAAGGAATACAAGCGGAATTAGTGAGCGAGAGCGCAAGCGTACGAGGCCACAGTCCACAGGAAAGTATGGAAAGTAATGGCGTAGTAATATGGCTGTCTTTAGCACAGTTAAACAAACGAGAACAGTACAACAATCACTGGTACAATTGATTATAATAATAATAATTATTTCCATTAAACCAATCGCGCTCTCTTGGTAAAGGTAGGTCACTACAAGCTGATTGGCTAGAAACTGTTGTCTCGCATGGATTCTGAGTTTCATTTAACTCTGAACTGCTATATGACTGTACACTGTTTTTTGAAATCGTTGATAAAGATAAATGATCATTAGGAACACTGGACTTAATAGAATCAGAATTACAAGACTTAATATTAGTTGTAGCAAGATGTAAAGTAGTATTGCAAACTGACTGAATATGTCCAATATCACCACGTTTAAAGCACTCAGAATTACGAAATTTACATAAATTAAAAGAGTGGAACTTGCCACAGGACAAATATTGAGCAAACTTGTGGCCATTTTCATGAACTGCATCGCAACTCCTCAATGAATTATCTGCATAACCTTCAGTATGCACTGGATTGGGATGACGTAGTAATGTAGTGGAATTTTTTTATATCTTCATGAATCATTTTACAAGATCTTCTTCCTTTACCTCATTCAAAATTTGCATACTTGACATAGCCAAGTAGTAGCTCCTTGAGAGTTGTATAAGAAAGCGAAATGGGCTTTTCCGGTAAATCCAGGGTTTTTAATAAGCTATATGCTTCTTTTTCCGATGAATGTGAGGAAATGTGCTACAATATTAACATCCCCATCATCTTTCTTGGTCATAGCCCAGATTTCGAACCTTTCAAAGTAATCCTCAAAAGCATCAAAATCTGAATGTATATCCAACCGTTCCATCACAGGATCCCGCTCGCGACGCCAGTAGAATACTTGAAAGTATTTGAATTATCGTATGAACTAGGAATCCCAGAAATAACGCAGTCGGATCAAGATAACCACAAACGAATGTACTGTACTTGGAATTCGAAATCGAGCAATCCACAAGTACAAAGGTATCATTATTTTATTCAAATACCACATGGATTTAACCGCAAACAGACATGATGTATGTAGAAACACATCGTTACTGATCAAATAAACATTACTATTATGTTATTTAGTTTATTTAGTCAGTAATTTGTGATGCCTTCAGAAATATTACAGTAATATTAACTGATTTAATTATTATGGATTTTATTTATACAGTAGTAAATTCTGGTACAACTTATCCTAGTTTAATCAAGTTATTCGAAACGAATGTCCAACAAATAGGTGCTTATGATCGTACCACTCTTGTTTTTTTTAAATATTTTATTTCGATTTTTATGTACCAGTCGATTTGTATTTATTTGAGTAACTTATAAGGTCATTTGGTCGTTCACTAATTGTTATATTTTCATAATTCTGGAAATAATCATTCGTTTTAATATGATCTAATTTTAAGTTAAATCATGATTGTATTCCAAATAACCTTGTAGTAATCATACGATTGTAAGTTCACTAGCATGTTTATAACAACAGCATTTAAAGTAAAAATATATGGTACTAACAATCCCACATATATTAGTCTAACCTAGGGAAATATCCAATGAATACATTCTTCAAAGTAATTTATTTTTTTACACAGAATGAATAGAAATATGAACCGTATCATCCCTAGAGTTAAATAGATTTGCACATTTCTATTTCCTTTAATGATATGCAAGGATTTATCCTTAAAATTATACATTTTGATTTTACAAGTGAAATCTAAATCCTCATCTTAGTCTTGGAAAGATGGGATAGTTGAAGATACTGACTATCCATGGAAAGCACCACATTAAGATTTTACTCCGATAAAGTCGGTAATGAAAATTCGCCTATTAGCCCGACAGCGCCTCTTCATTCGCTTTCTGATTCAGCTTTCCAGTGTTGTTGGACCTCATACAAAAACTAGCTTGATTTAAGGAGGAAATTGTACTTGTAAAAAAACTTTAAGTAAATCCAACATTTTTCTCGGCAATCTAGGCTAAGGTTTTTCAAGGTAATATAATCAAATATCAAAGTTATAGGACATAAATACATGGTTCATCGTTAACTGTACACTAAAGAAGTCATCTAGTCATGTTCAAAATGCTGTTAATTGGATGTCGTAGTGCGTATGCATCATTTGGTGCGAAAGGTGGGGAAGTTGTGATGAATGAATATCTGATGTGAGAAAATTAACCGATCATATATCTCCTCTGGTTATGACTGTTCATAGATTCGGACAATTCGATAGATATTATGGATCAGACGTGTCACAGTATGCATAAAATGGGAATAAATAAACAAATAAAAGTAAGTTTGTGTCAAGCAAGCTGTTTGTTCATCGTATATTCAGACAAATTAACTGATTAGAATAGATGAAAGCACATCTTTGCTATCGGTACAATAATAGACGAATTAGAAGCAGTAAAGTATGAAACGAAATATAGGATTACTTATTAATTACTAATTGCCATGAGATAACTGGTTGTATCCCATCCCTACTGTTTATGTTGTTTGAGTTTGTTTATGTGTAAAGCTTCAGCTGTTAATCTCTTTGAATGAAAAAAACCTTTTTGAAGGATTCATATACTGTTGGAGTTAAGTGTATGCCCAGACTCTTCTAATTTATATGGTACCATCGACGTGTTTTCGACCGTGAGGTCTTCTGACCTTGAGTATGCGGATGACATTGTCTTACTGTGCGATAATGCCTGAGACATGCAATCCGCACTTAATCAATTGGCAATCAATGTCCGTAGGTATGGTATGTGCTTGCACCTTCGAAGTGCAAAGTACTTCTACAAGACTGGCGGGATTCTAGTACTGTACGCACTCTGGGTGGTGAGCAGATAGAAATAGTCGAGAAGTTCGTGTATCTAAGTAGCCGCATAAGTGCTGGTGGTGGCGTGAGTGATGAGATCAATGCACGTATAGTGAAAACCAGAGCGGTTTATGCCGATCTGGACCATCTTCGTGATGTTAGTCTGGCTGTGAAAGGTCGGATCTACAACGCGTCAGTGAGAACAGTTCTACTTTATGCTTGTTAAACCTGGCCTCTCCAAGTTGAGGACGTTAGACGACTCTGTGTTCGATCATCGTTGTCTCCGAAGGATTGCTGACATCCAGTGGCAACACCATGTCAGTAATGCAAAGGTTCGGCATCGTGTGTTCGGGCACAGAGATGATCATGCGATCGATGTCACCATCTTGAAACACCGACTCCGGTGGCTTGGACATGTTCTACGAATGTCGTCCCAGAGAATTCCACGTCGTGCATTATTTGCCGACGCTGGGACTGGTTAGAAAACGCAGAGAGGTGGTCAGTATATGACATGGTGTCGTGGTATGAAAGAAAGCTGCAAAGGACTGGCTTCTGTTGGTCCTTCAGGACTCCCTGGCTGGGGTCTGAGAGATGGTGCTACACAGTGGCTAAAGACGTTATCAGATATGGCTCAGAACAGAAGCCAGTGACGATCCTGCCGTAACTTTCTTTGTAAGAAGTGGTTGCTTCTTCCTTAACTGAAAGATTTCTTCTGGTTGTACCTTCCCGTTTCCCCCGTTATTACCATTATTATTCTACCTTACACCTATCTGTTCGTTATTGTTTTCTTTTACGCTCTTTACCCTGTTTTTTCTTGTTTTTAAATTCTCATTGTTTTGTATGGTGCATACATATTTGGTGCCCTCTTGTACCAATATTTATGTGTTCAAACAAATAAAGAAAGAAAACAGCTGAAAAACCATTAAAAACTAGAAAAACATTGGGTTGCTGTTTCGTTCTAACTGTAACTCAGTTTTTTAAAAGTATCATACTTTTTACGAAACCTAAATACTCTGAGTTTGGTTTTACGTGAAATTATGGATGCATAATGTTAATAAAACGTGAATTAGATTGGTTCAGACAGTCTATGGTACTCCAGTTGATGTCAACCTATGATGAAACCTATTTTAACATAAAAAGAAAACCTATACAACCTCTTCAAACTTAAAAATAATCCCTTAATACTAATTAAAACAAGAACTTTGTAATAAAATACAGTAATAATAGAAATAAATTATGAGGACCTAAAAACAATACAGAAAACATAACTTCTATTATCCTGATTTTGTCCACATTAAAACAAAAATATTGTTCAAGTTTGAGTATATCCATATGACATTTGATACATCCAGGACCATGTGTCTTATACTTTGCAGTCTATCTTGACCACCATCCCATATTGTAACAAATAATTCTATGGAAATTGAATGAAATGAGAATCTTATTACAGTGAAGTAAATAATAAAGTGAAAAAAATAATTAACAACAGTTTAATGTTTTAGTTGTATTAGCACCAACAATTCGATGAATAATATCAATAAAACGTGGATCTCCCATAATATTTACATGTTCAGCCCCAGGTAACATGAAATATTTTATACCAGGCCAACGTTTACAGACTTCTAAACTACGTAGACTAACAGTACCATCACCGTTTCCAGGAATCAATGTCGGCACTTGATCTGGAAATCCACTATGAAAGAAGTTGGGCGGTGAATAAATCATTTTGTCAGTGGTACTCAAATTTGATCCATGAATACAATAGATTTCATCAATATCACTTGGTTTTTCGAATGTATCAATTATAGATTTACTGTCCAACATCATCTGGAAACCTAAGGATAAAAATGTATAAGTGTGCAAAAATAGTGTGATGATTTTAAGTAAAATAATTCTTTAAAAGTTTGTTCCATAAAAGTTTCTGTTGAGGATGTGAAATTCCCAAATAATACATTTAAGAAACCGGTTTTAGAATCCTCAAGTTGATTGAAAAGGAATTTTATCTATTGACTTTCAGTGTTTTTGTTCTATTTCGATTTGTTCAATATGAAGTTAATTTGATGTATTCAAAATGTAACTTCATAGTCTTAAATAGCGTACTGTGATTTATATTCAGTGAAAACTATTCCGTTCATAAATTTCAAACATTTTGTTGAGACATAACTTTGCCTTTTTCTTGGAAACATAATAACATTTCTCCAAGCCCAGTTTTGATTTGGAGATCGATTGAACGCATGCAGACCTACCCAGATATTTAAAGAAGGCTAAATAATTTACTGAATCAACTTTACTGACTACTACGACAACTGTTAAAAAGGCTTCGCTATTAATAACATCTTCAGCTAAGATTTAATACAAATTAAAACAGGTGAAGAGGCAGATGAAAACGATGAGATCATTTGAAACTATTTCGTGGCATATTATCTGGCACTAACATTCTGTGACTTCTACTGGTTTTGGGATTTAGTCATTCATAAACAACATATGGCTAGTGAAAAGTGTACATCAGACTAAAATCCCACACTAAACGCCAGTGCAGAGACAAAAAAGTGACTACATGAAGAGCAAAGGAATGAAAAACACTGTATAAGTAATCGTAGAAAACAGAACATAACACCAGAAAATACAGAATAAATGCATCAGCGCTAGTGCGACGGATTCTGAGCTGCATCAATTAAGGTTTCTCAACACAGATCTTGAAAACTCGCTCTAACAATCAACTTTTTCACATATTGTTTACATCAACGGTAATTGATATGGTTTTAATTTAGGTGATATTATTCAGTTTGTCCAAAAAAATCATTAACACCTTTTTTGGTGGTTGTAAATAACAGATTTCATTGATGTCTTAATTTGGTGGATAACCAAACTACCACTCAGTGAAAGTCTACGAAGAGTGGAAACAATGAAGGATAATTCTTTGGAATAAACATCTTTATTATTTCCTTCGGTTCACTCAGTTTTAGCTTCACAACCACTTACTAAAAAGAAGCAGTACGTGACCAAACGACGTGGATAATAATATCCTAGAATAACGATACACAAGGGTAGGAAGCATTTTTGTATCTTGTCTACATAATATGTTCCAGATCCGTTGGGTGGATACCATCAGCAACAATTTAACGTCAGAGAACAAACCAACTTCCAGCTCATGATGAAATTATAAAAAGACGTTGGAAGTAGATAGGAAATACATTGTGGAAATCCTCAAACTGCATCACGAGGCAAGCCCTAACTTGAAATCCTGAAGGCAAAAGGAAAAGAAGATCAAAGAAAATATTGCGACGAGAATTGGAGGCATACATCTAAAGAATGAGCAGTACTTGAAAACAGCTAGAAAGAAGAGCCCAGGATAGAGATGGTTGGATAATCCTAGTTGATGGCCTGTGATCTATGAGCAGCAACAGGCGCAAGAAGTAAGAATAAAGAGCATCTTTCAATAATACATCTAGTTGTTAAAGTGGTTGCAAATTACCTTAATACTCGATTTAGTATGTATTAAGATTGGTTCAACTTGATAATGATTTACACCACAGCTTAACATAAACTGAATCACTATTTGGAAGCACACAGCAGTTGATAACCGACTTGTCCTAATATACGGCATTTTAGCAGTACGCACATAAATTAAAGACGTTATACACGAAGCTACTCAATTACTGATTTGAAATCTAATGACTTAGGTTTTCCAACGTTAGTAAATTCTTAATAAAACAAAGTTAACAAGTTAAAATGAATAGACTGAATATATAATCTTCATTTGCTCACCGATTGAATAATTGACATCATGGAAGAAACGTTCGTAGTCATGAGCAGAATAGTTTGTTGTTGGCGTTATAATAAGAGGTTCCTTTGGTGACCACAAACGAGAATCCGGGAGGAGAAAAGCAAGAGAAGGTAGCGTGCGCTGAACAGGGCGGAAACTAAGTGGACTGCGTAAAAACACACCAAAGTTATCTCCTACAAAAATAGCAGTACATCTAAACAACGTTTAAAAATGACAGGTTTATTGTAAAAAGTACTTAGAATTTATTGTATTTGTTTATTTTAACACATAGATATTGGTACAAGGAGGCACCAAATACATATGCGCCACACAAATCTCATTTGATATTTGTGAGGGCTGCGATACTGCCCGGGTACCCAAGCTGAAATAGGTACTTACATTGCCTATATATTCCAGAAAATAGTTGCAGACGTGGTTCGCCAGAAAATATCAAATAGTTGCATGAGATTATCTATTAAAGATATATTATACTGACAGCTATAAATAAGACTCGGTGACTAAAATAGAAGCGTTTCCCATATAATGGGTGGATTTTTTATTCCCACTAATAAATCCTGGTAATAAGGCTGGTAAAACTCACCTGGCTGTTTGCTTCCTATGACCTTACCACTGATGGAATATTGGATAAGGCTTCACAGCGTGACTGCACTGTAATGCCTTTATTTTAAGTATAAAGATCTAATCCTCGGCAAATATCGGGATAACAAGCTTGATATCTTTAAAGCATCATGTTACCTGATGCTTCAAGATATCAATATCATTCAATTACAAACTAAACCCAGGATATCAGGATCTGCTACAGCATACGCAGATTTGCTGGCAGTAACTACGAAGATTGCATACTCAAACAGCTGTGTTGGTTGATGCAACTTGAATAAGTAACATTCATGTGAGAAGTCCGGGAATTATATCATCAATTTAGTTACAAACCAACAGCAACAACAATAATATATTGAGACAGGAAAAGTAAATATGAGACTTTAGATGCATTTCATAAAACTGATATCCGTGAAATGCGTTAGTTTACAATCAAAAAATTTAGAATCGCAGGCTAAAAACCTTAGTTCGGTTTGTGAAGTAATAAAATAAATGTATGAATGAGTAGTCTGACAATGAAGATCAGAAAAAAGACAGCAAATTGCGGACAAATGTGCAGTACAACTGTTCCTACTTCACCAGCAGTGCAAATTGGTGAGAACCACGTGGACTTTTAGTAGTCGTATAGAGATTTTATTAGCCATCAACCGGGTGTGATGAGTCTTTTAATATAAGCGTAGTGATCAGCAAAATTATTTACTTTGCTGTCTATGGTTAGTCTAGGTAGTGGAGCGGATCAAATCTTAAGTAACATTTTGCATTTACAAATAGAAATGGAAATACTTTTTTATTGTTACTTATTGTGCTAATAAGGCTATATTTTATCGGAATATTGAAACAATGACGTTATTTACCAACTAGGTTCATCAGTGATTCATTAGGCAATTCAAGTATTGCCGGAAATTCATTTTATAAATAAGACTACAAAAAATGAACAGGTAATATTTTACAAACCGATTTCGATTGGAATTCTACCAAGGTTCTAAAACAATCAGTGAGGTTCGAGTACTTTGTTGCTATTAATTTATACGAAACACTCAAAGGACCAGTTAGTTGACAAAAATGGTGAGAAATTTAAGTGATGGTTCCGCGCTAAGTAATGGTGAGCAGATATGTACATCCTGGATAATAATCCATCGTAGTCCGAGTTAGTGGTCTCCTTTTTTATTATAAATGGAGTTGTATGCTAAGATTTTAAGTAAGACAAAAAAGCAATAAACGCTGACACATTTGAACAAATATAATCGAATAACATAACGTACCACTTGCTTCGATTTTAAGAGCCTTTACTGAACCACCAAGAGGTGCACTGAGTGAGACAAAGGTTTTGATGTATGTATTCTTCCAGCTTTTCTTCATTGACTTTAAGAAGTATATCCCGTATTTAGCCCCCAAACTATGGCCAAGCAAAACAACAGACCGGTTTCCACCATTTTGATAAGTCTCCTCAATCAGGTGCATAAGTTTGTTATTAAAGCCCTCGTTTTCATCTGAAGAGAAAGCTAATCTAAAAGCTTTAAACTAACTTGGAGCTTTACGGAAATCGAAGGGTGCACCGCGAATAGTCCAGTTGGATACAAAGAAAGGATCACGACGCAATGACTCAATCATCGGACCACAATATTCAGTTCTGCTATGTCTATAACTATCCAAATTTTCAATAGACCACGTTTCACCCCAACCTGGGAAGTATACGTCTGCGCTATCAGGATCTCTAGACTTTCTGGTGACTGGATCATAAACTAAGCTGAGACCCAATAAATCAAACAGTTGTGAACCTTACCCGAAGTATTCGTTTAGTTTTCCCGGTTCGAGAAAGTAACGTAAGTCTATCCATACTAAAAAAGGAGGTGATGTTGAGTTTTTTAGCTTGCTATACGCCTGACACCCTCCATCACCTGGGATTATTACAATTGGGTACTTTTCCGACTGGATATGAGCCCCAAAAGTAACAACGAAGAAGCGAATCTTGTACTAATAGTGAAAAAGCAAAGTGCTTACAATAAATGTCCAAGGTAAGTGACCCATACGGTTATCATAACAGAATTATCACCTGATTTGCGCCGCGAACAACCTGAAGGACAATCACAAGCGCTAACTACAAACCTTAGGGGTTGCAGAGTTCAATAAGAGATGTGTTTCAAGTAATTGAAGTCAGTTTCACGTCATTTTGGTGAATATGTGCTGAAAACTGGGCCATGATTTTTATTGAACTACATTTTGAACAACTGAAGTCAGTGATTGACATGAAACCCTTGACTGAAATTTCATCCTTATTTATATATAACTCTCTAACTAAAAAATAAGAAGATTCATAAAATACACAATTGACTTTCTGTGCATCGATGATGTTGTGGATAAACTGAAACCCCGGTGTATAACGGTGGTCATTCATAAAAGTCATAGCAATACAATCTTCATTGTCACCGTATTTCAACGAAGTGAGGAATGGTTAATCAATTTATTTCTGCACAAATACTAAGGATATCTTCAGTGTTTTGCAACTCAGGACTCAAGGGTCTCAAGATAGATGGATATTTATTTATTAACGATCGATAACAACTTATTAGTTTGTTAAATATGCATAATGGCCTGGCTGGTCTGTTCTGGATAGTCCAAAATGGCCGCCACTTGTCTTCTGAAGGAATGAATGCCTTAGGTGTCAGAAGCGTATCCAGAGAAACGGTTTGGATTTGAAATTTCTGAATGTTCATCGTGATGTCATGTTTTTGGAGTCGTTTGCGGAAACGGTCCAGATCCTGGAGTTGAAATTCTCTATCCTAACTCGCCACCAAGAAGTCACTAAAATATACATTCAAGAGGTTGAAAACCCTGGCTACAACATCGAAGGATCCCTGAAACACTTGTGTATTGCTTTTCAATCCGAATGTTATGTGCAAAAGCTTTGTAGAGCCTGATGTGTGGATAGCAGATTTCGTAATGTCACCTGCAGTCATAGTAACTTGGCCATACTCTTCGACAAGATCGATTTTTGATAAATCGACTGTGATTTTTAGAGTAGGTGTCAGGTCATGGATTTTTAGCATCACGTAGCGATCGCAAGCTATTTTCGTATTAAGTCGCTGATAGTCACTGGTTAGACACCAACCATCGGTCATGTTTAGGGACCATGCGCTTGCAGTCGAATTCGTTTTTGGCTAACTTAAGCTTATCGGGAGCTAGCCGGCGAGTTTTCAAAAGTACGGGTTATCCTGTAGTCGTAATGCAGTGTGTAATATTGCTGGCAACACAGCAATTTCAATATTGTTGTATAAAGTTCAGGGTACTTATCATGTGTCTGTCGATCGATTGTATGTTTAATCATGTCTGGGCATAACCTACAACGCAAACAGATTATTTAGTATTTCCGTTTACTAATCTTCATTCGCTCGAGCTGGTGTACAGAGTATGGTGTTGTAACACGTCTGTATCAACGACTAGGATAGAAACATCTGTCTTAATGAAAATCCGGTGAAGATGTTGGTGTAAATGATTGTTAAAATAATAATATATCTTACCGTGTGTAGTGGTCAGTTTACCATTTGCTTCCTGTAAGTTGAAGGCCGGATCTCGTAGTCGGTCGTGAGAGAAAGTTCGTCACCACATCAGTGATATGCGACAGATGGTTATTTCCACCTACCTCAACTGCTGTTAACACACGCCTACGGGGAAATCCCCCGAAAATTTTGTCTTGATAAAAGGTTTGGGACTGGGGATACTTTAGGGTTTATCGCAATTTATAGAAGACTTAGCGTTCTTGTTGAGGTACAATGCCAATCGGAATTATCTGTTTCTCGTGATCTAGAGGCAGATCTTTTTCATGATGGGTTCCGAGGGGTTTAAGGGGTTCTGCGATGATGATGAGTATTTAGATAATGAGTGAAAGTACGACAGAGGTCTGTAAAGTCTCTTGTGTCGTTTGAGGATTTTTACTGACAGAATAAACCTCAGTGATTGGATTTCGGGTGATCTTTTAGAGTCCGATCAACAGACTCAGCCAATTTATCTACGGCGTCACTTTGGGATGACGCAAGTACATTATACACCTGTTGGGAGGGCTTAGATAAGGAGAGTTATCTACAGAGGTCTTCATCGAAAATCCGTTGATCATTAACCTCATACACACGTGGCAACGTTTCTTTTGCCAAGCTATGTCGTAACTTTGTGTTGTGGAACAGCAAGTTCAACCTCTGGCGATCTTGGATACCTAATTCTTACAGTCAGTTGAATTTTGGAAGTTGCTATGGGCTGAAGTGATAATAGTGACTTCTCAGGACTCGTTTGATAGGGAACTTAATATTTTAATGATTCTACACGCAATCGGAGTTTGACAACACCCTTGCCAGTAACACTTGTGTGCCGACACAGAGAAATCAGAAGTCAAAAGTGAGAGGGTATGAAGTTTGCTACCCACTGTTTTACGAAGGTGCAGATCACTGTTTCAGTAGTAATGTCTTTGATAGGCAGTGCTTTCGCCCATCGTGTGAAACGGCACGATTGGACGATCGCTGTCTGTAGATGTGTTGCATTGTAAGGTTTCCTTACCTGTTCCCATATGTTTAATACGCAGTTTTAGGGTTGAATAATATATGTCGTGCTGGAGATCAATGTCTTCTTGAAGCTGTAAGAGTTCAAGAAAGTGGATACCTTGGAAACCGTCCAAGGACGTCATACGAGACAAGGCGTACGCAACTACATCGTTTACCCCAGAAATGTGTTCTATATCTGAAGTAAACGGCGAAATTTATTCCAGTTGTCGAGACTCTCGTGGGCAGTACCTAACTGAATACAAGCTAAGAGAGAGAGTGAAAGGTTTATGGTTGATGAACATAATGAATTCTCTGTCTCCCAAAAAGGTGTTGAAAGTGCCGTGTAGCAAAATACATGGCTAAGGGTTCACTATCGAAAGTACTTTGCCGCCTTTCGGCGTCTCGCGACCGTCTCGAGTAGAACGCTTAAGGTTGCCAGGTGTTATTTACAAATTGTTTTAACACACCACCGATTGCAGAGTACAATGCGTCTATTGCAATACTAGTGGGTTCTCTGGTGTCCTGGTGCGTGAGCAATGCTGCGTAGTTGGTTGACTGTGATAGGTTCTGGGTAATCAAAAATGGCCGCCACTTTGCTTTTTGGAGGTCGGTTGCCTTGAGCATCAATAATATGTCTGGGAAAGTCTAGAAAGTCGGTTCCGATTTGGCATTTTTGAGTGTTATATTAGTGCTGCGTTTTTGTAGACGTTCAAAAATAACATCTACTTGTTGGAGATATTTTCCGTCCGGGCTTGCGATCAAGCGGCTATCTACATACATGTGTACGAAGTAGAGGGCTCAAACGGCGTCGTTGATGAATTTCCTAAACCGAAACGCATGCTCGACAATCCATAGATGCCGAATGGGGAATGATAGCGGTTTTGGGGATATCGTCAGCAATCATTGGGATTTGGTTATACTCTTTAACTAAAACGATTTTTGAAAAAAAACATTCGTACTTTTCGTGGTAACCACCAAGTCGTGAATGTGAAGCAATGGTTAACGATCGAGAGTAGTTTTCGTGTACAATCGTTGGCAGTCAACATTTGAACACCAGTCATTGCTATCTTTTTTAGGGACCATTTGCAATAGAGATGTCCATGAACTATTTGATAGCCGAATGATTCTAAGTCTATCATATGGTGGAATTCATTTTTTGTCAACCTCAGCTCATCGTGAGCCAGTTGACGCGCCTTCGAAAATACCGTTGAACCTGTGGCCGTGATGTGATGCCCAACTTTACTAGTTACACATAACAATTTCTTTTGCGATTGGTACTGTTCAGGGTTTGCGTAAACCCACGTTAAGATACACATATCACTCACCATATGTGGCGATCGGTTTCTCACTGGCTGCCTGTAAATCGAAAACTGGTTCATGAAGTTGATCGTTAGCATCTGGAGGAAGAACATCAACTTCTGAGGATTTGGTTACCACTGAGATACACTTAAAGAAACAGTTCTGATCAGGAAAAAGCAGATACGATGACAGACTATTTCGGAACAGTTTTCATTAAAGAGCCTCTTCCAGACGAAGAGGGAGACCCAAATATATAATCAGCAAGCTATACGCTCACCATAGACTTTGGTCAGGACGATGTGCTTAAGACTCTAAACACCTTAGACACGGAAAAGTGAACAGGACCGGATGAAATACACCCTAAAATCCTGAGACAAATTACTTACTTTACTTACTCCTGTTACTCTCAATGGAGCATAGGCCGCCGACAAACATTCTCCAGTCAACTCTGTCATGGGCCTTCTTTCCCAGTTCTGTCCAATTTTTGTTCATTTTCCTTATGTCCGTCTCCATTTCTCGACGTAATGTGTTCTTTGGTCTTCCTCTCCTCCTTTGGCCTCGAGGGTTCCAGATGAGGGTTTGCCCTGTGATGCAGTTGGGTGTTTTCCTCACTGTGTATCCTGTTCACTTCCAGCGCTTCTTCATTGTTTCTTACTCCGCTGAGATCTGGTTTGTTTTCTCACAGTAGGTTGTTGCTGATAGTATCTGGCCAACGGATCCCAAGTATTTTGCGTAGACAGCTGTCAATAAACACTTGTAACTTCTGGATAATAGCTTTCGTAGTTCTCCAAGTTTCTGCCTCATACAATAGAACAGTTTTGACATTTGTATTGAAGATTCTGACATTTGTTTTGAGTTCCAGATGTTCTTCAATTGTAGATATACTGCTCTTGCTTTGCCAATCCGCACCTTCAAATATGCATCAGATCCACCGTGCTCATCAATGATACTGCCCAGATATGTAAAAGATTTCGCATCTTCTAAAGCTTCTCTGTCAAGTGTGATTTGAATGGTGCATGTTGTATTGTATCGGAAAATGCTGCTTTTCCCTTTGTGTATGTTGAGACCTACTGCTACTGAGGCTGCTGCTACACTGGTCGTCTTCTCCTGCATTTGTTGTTGCGTTTGCGATAGGAGGGTCAGATCACCTGTGAAGTCTAGATCGTTCAACTGCATCCTAGATGTCCACTGTATCCCGTG